AAAAGGACACAGACAAAGAGGCAGACAAGAAAATCATTACAAGTCTCTGCCCAGGGAAGGCAACAGTGCCAAGTGTTTCCTTGAGGATACACACAGGATGGTTCTTCCCTCACCAAGGGACCAGTCCCAGGTGTCCAATCTGCTCCAGAAGCTAGGTGGTAGGAGAGTCAGCCTTAGGCTGGGTCCCACCCCTGGCTGGACTCCTGGGGCTGGCCCAGGCTGGGAGTGGGCTTCCTTCTCACTGCGGGCTCCCTGGGGGAAGTGGAACCAGCAGAGGAGCCCCTACTAAAGGAAGACCATGAAGAGAGAAGGGAGCCACCCTAGCCCTGGTCCCCATCGTTCCATGCTTTCCCCTGATCTAGATCAATCTGACCTGGGCTGATCCTCCCCACCCCACCCCCACCCATGCCTTCAGAAGGCTGGTCTAGGGGAGCCCCTGTGTGAGGCACTGGCCTCAAAACCTGATTCTGTAAGGTGTTGACAAAAGAAAAAGCAGATATCGAGGCAACAGGACAGGAACAAAGCAGCCAACACTGGAAGGGACTCAAGACACCAGGACAATCCCATCCCCTACCACTGGGGCACTGGAGCCCCAAAAGCCTGCTGGGCCCTCCAAAACTGTAACAGCCCCTAGAGACCTGGACCTGCCCCTCTCTTCACAAAGACCTTTCTCACCAGAGCCGCCTCATCTTCTGCTGGGTGGGGAAGAAGGGGCCCAGGAGACAATGGGGGAACAATCCTTCGGTCCTGCCCTTCCTGAACACCTCTCCAGGGCACTCCCCTCAGGTTCCTGGGTCTCTCCCTCTCTGTAAAGAACACCACAAACACATCACTCTGTTCTGAGCAAACAGTGCCTGGCTCAGTTTTCAAGACCTGTCCTTAGTCCCACTACTCAAACACAGCCCCTGGCCCCTTCCCCCTCTCTATTCCACACCAGGTCTCACCCTGCTCCTATTCTAATTCACGCTACGAAGCCAGCTACTCTGCACCCCTCGCCTCCGATGACAACAGACCTGCTCCAAGCCACACCTAAACACCACAGCGGTCCCCAGTTACTCCCCACTCTGCACTCCCATCACTCCGCTACACTCCCACTTGCCACCGCTAACCACTTGGCCCAGCGGAGCTCTGTAACTTTCCCCTTTACTCTGCCTCCACCATTCTCTTCCTCATACCCCATCACCCTTCCTCCACACTCGGTATCCCAACCTCTTGACCCCTGCAGTCCCAGGGCCCAGGCGCTACTGACCCAACATGCCGAGGCCACGGGAGGCCGCGCCGAACGCAGGCACCAGGGGCCTGCGGATTGAGTACATGGTCGGGCACACGGCTGCGGTAGGGAAGCGGGTCCTGACCAGGGCTCCTACCTCCACAGCGGCAGCCG